ATATAAGCTATTACAAGTTACACTGCGCAAAAGCCATTATTTCGGCATTTGTTTCTTAAGAGCCAATGATAAAAACGCCGTAGATACAGATACAATAAATACTAATCACAGTTCAGCGCCGACAATGTGCTCTCACAATATCATGCTATACTACTATTCCTGTATGTTGCACAACTGAGCGCTAATATTCTACTATTCTGCTACTCTAATATTCTACTATTCTGCTACTCTAATATTCTACTATTCTGCTACTCTAATATTCTACTATTCTGCTACTCTAATATTCTACTATTCTGCTACTCTAATATTCTCCTATTCCACTACTCTAGTATTCCTATTCTGCTATTCTCCTATTGTCCTATTCTTCTACTCTAGTATTCTATTAGTATACTATTCTCCTGTTCTTGTATGCTTCTGTTCTGGTGCTGTTCTGTTGTGCTGTTGTTGTATTGAGCTATGGGCGTAAGGTTTATGAATGCGTTCACCACACGTGCACGTAACATTTAAGTCGCTTAGCCAAATAAGCTGAAAGTCTTTTGTAATAGAACGCGTAGTGTTCTATTTGCCCTAAAAATTTCATACTTTGATACTAGTGTGTGAAAGCTCTATTAAGCACAGGAAGTCCAAATTCATCGATCCTAAGCTAAATAACGGGTGGTGCAAAAGTTCTGCATTAATTTTCTTTTTAATATAACATTGCCATGCAAAGTCGTAGAGACGTGATTCTTTTTTTGTTAGAAAGAGCATCATCTGAAGTACTTGCCAGGATGTTTTTGATCTCTTGTACGCTTCGTTTTCTACAGATGAAGAAACAAGAAATAGAAGCTCTAAGAATACGTATTTCAACTTTCTATCAAGACACTGCCGCAGGCAACTTGAAAACCACTTGGCATTTCTTTAAAAAAGAAGATTATCACTACTCAACTATATACCGAATTATTCAGAGGTATAATCAATTTAAAACCATAAAAGATTTGCCTAGAAGTGGATGCCCACGAGAGCTGGGCAATAAACAAATGGCACAAATCACACGTCGATTGAACAATAACAGTGAGATCAGTCAAAGAAATTTCGGCGTTCATTATAATATTGCTCATACGACGATTGAGCGTAATTTAATGCAACGAACAAGTATTCGACCCAGAAAACGAATCAAAGCACCAAAATATGTGAAAGATCAAGAGAAACGCGCACAAAAGAATTGCGGTGTTTTGTACCGTCAGATTCCGAAGGATTGTTTTATCGTGATGGATGACGAAAAGTATTTTGGTTTAAGTGGGGCTGATATTCCTGGAAATGCATTTTTCTATACGAACGATGCCTCCACTACACCACCGAACGTTAAATACAAGCAGTATCAAAAGTTTGAACCGAAACTGTTGGTATAGCTAGCGATATCTGCTAAAGGATGTTCGAAGCGATCGCGCCGCGA